ATGGGGCCTAAACTCTGGGCCTGGGCGCCGTCCCTCAGCTCTTTAGCTCAAGGCTAGCACTCTACCATTTGAGCCACAGCGCCACTTCTGGCTTTTTTCTTTTTTCTTATGTGGTGCTGTGGAATCGAACCCAGGGCCTCATGCATGCAAGGCAAGCGCTCTATCACTGAGCCACCTTCCCAGCCCAACAGTATTTTTTGAGAGCTGCTATGAACCATGTACTTCCTAGAGCTGAAAATACAGTGGTGAACAGTAAAGTCCTTCAGAAGAAAATAAGACAATTCACATGGTAACAAACAAATCAGTTGGTTCAGATAGAAATTAATGCCTCCCTCTGTACAGCCTCTTTACAGTAAAATAAAATTTAAAAAAAGAACTTAGTGCCTGAAAAAATAAAAGATTCCAATGCAATAGAAAGAATGGTGGAAATGTCACAATGAACTCCCCAATTGTACAACTAATATTAAATAACTAATAATTAAAATTAAAGTTAATTAAAATGAAAATAAGTAAATGTGTAAAATACTTAAAATGAGTAAAATTAAAATAATTAATAATAGAAGTGAACTAAATACAAAGGGAGAGTTATTACTAACTGCAACAAATTATCACTACAGACTTGCTACATTTTCTGAAGCAATCTATCTCAAGCTGTAGGATCCAATTTTCTCAATTTTTTTATTAAAATGTTAAAATAAATTATCTAAAGTATATGAGAAAAAAGAATGTGCTTCATTTCTTCTGGGGGTAGGGACCCATTGCTTTTTTTTGGGGGGGGGGTCTGGTTGTGGGGCTTGAACTCTTGGCCTGGGCGCTGTCCCTCAGCTCTTCAGCTCAAGGCTAGCACTCTACCACTTGAGCCACAGCATCACTTCCGGCTTTTTTCTTTTTGCTTATGTGATGCTGAGGAATCGAACCCAGGGCCTCGGGTATGCAAGGCAAGCACTCTACCACTGAGCCATCTTCCCAGCCCCAGGACCCATTGCTTTTATTCCAAATATCCATAGTTGTATTTCTCAAAAGTATCTGTAAGTACAGAATTTCAGAGTAATTTATTTTCCCCTCAACAGTTCAGAAAGCATCGCATGGGCTTCTGTCCTAGAGGTATGCTGACAAGAAGCCTGCCCATTGTGCCAGGTGCCTTTAACTCAATACAGTGGAATCAGATGTGAGTTCTTTTTATTCATTCTCTCTGAGTAGGCTTCTCACTCAGAATTTGTGTCTTTCATCAATTCTGAAGCATTCTCATCTTGTATTTCTTATAATATTTCCCCTGCTAATTTCTCTATGCTTATTATTTCTAGTATATCAGTTAAACTTATGAAATTTCTCACTTTCCTGTATGATTCCTAACGTCTTATATATTTTCTATCTTTTGTTTCTATGTAATGTTTTATGTATAAGTTCTTCAGATAGAACTTCTCATTTACTAACTCTCTCTCGAGTTGTATCTAATCTGTTTACTGTCTTTTGAGTTTCCACTTTTAGTTATTAGACCTTTTTTATTTGTAAGAATTTCTTCACTGTTTTTCATGTCCTTAGCCATTTCTGGTAGCCTTACTACTTGGTCATTCTTTTAATAGTTTTTTTTTGCTTATTTAAATATATTAAACACACTTCATTTTCTGCATCTAATAATATCTGCAGTCTCTGCAGGTCTAATATCATTATTTATTATTTCTGGTGACAGGGTTCATTATGGATTATTTATTTGTGTGCCATTTGAGTTTACATTTTGAGATCATGTTCTTTTTAATATTGCCTCAAAAAATTCTTCCAGAGATTTTATATTGATTCCCAGGTCCACTGGCTAGTCTCAGCTCAGGATGACTTCAAACTAAATTCTCACTTTGGGAATTCTGAAGCATACAAATCTGGGAATTCTATCCAGGCTCTATGTAGTTTTCTAAGTCTTTCATCAAATCCAAGGTCAAGATAGAACACTTTCTTTATCATTACTATCTTTTCTCCTGGTTCTACTTTTCACTGTCAATGTCACACTGTCAGGACCCAGATTTAACAGAATTTTCAATCCAAATCCCCATCTTATAATCATCCTGGGTTTTATACTCAAACATAAGCACATGGCTGGTGGAACAGGATACGTGGAATGCCTTGGGATTACTAGATACCCAGAAGGCACCATCAGCTTGGGTTTGTACATACAATCTAGTAGTACTGCTTTCTTATTACTCACTTCACCTCATCTGTCAACTTAGTAAAGCATTTTTTAAGAAGCTTTTCACATTTGTACCCATCTCTGCTTCCTGGAAGGGCTACTTGTACTATCCTGTCTGTTATTTACCAAAATGTAGTTCAGCTTCAAACAAGGAAACCAACTACAAAGTGACCATTTAATCTGGGTGCTTACAAGGTATGAGAATTAGCTCTCATTTATCCACCTCTGGTAGAGCCCTTAAAGTCAGCCAAGTCAGATACCAGTGGCTCATGCCTATAATCCTAGCTACTCAAGAGGCTGAGATATGAAGATAAAGCTTCAAAGTCAGCTCCAACAGTAAAGTTCATGAGACTCTTATATTCAATTTACCAGCAAATAAGGCAAAAGTGGAGCTACTGCTCAAATGGTAGAGCTCCAGCTTTGGGTGAAACAGCTAAGAAACAGCATCCAGGTCCTGAGTTCAAGCCACTGTACCAGAAAACACACACACACACACACACACACACACACACACACACACACACACACAAAGTTGACCATGCCCATTTACTGTCATATTATCTATAACTTCTGAGTTGCAAGAGCAGAACTGAGTAGATGTGACAGAAACCTCTTAGGCTTCAAAACGTAAAATATTTACCACCTGCTCTTTGCAGAAAATGTTTACCCAGCCCTGAACCAAGAAATTCCTGGAAAGAAAGCCCATCCTCTGTTATACATGGATTTTCCCAGTCTGTGAAATGAGCATGTCAATCCTTTCTGCTTCTCTTTCTTCTTCACCAAGAAAAATATTCAAGCTAGATATATTTATAAGACAGATCCTTTCTTCTACTATTCCTTCATTTCCAACATAGTGTCTTATGAGAAAAACAAAGGAGGGGATAACAATGCTTAACAAGAAATGTACTCATTACCTTACTCATGTAAGTTTAACCCCTCTGTACAGCATCTTTACAATAAAATAAAATAAAATTAACAGATCCTTTATTGCTCATTAGAGTCAAAACTCAGGAAAGACTCACGATATTTCAGAATATGAATCATGTTCTAATTTTTTTGCTTTCTTTTCTTTTTTATTTTATTGTAAAAATACTGTACAGAGGGGTTACAGTTACATGATTAAGGTAATCAGTACATTTCTTGTTGAACATTGTTACCCATTCCTTTGTTTTTCTCCCACTATCACTTCCCCCCCCACTCTTCCCCTCTCACCCCACAAGTTGTAACGTTCATTTCTGACATAGTGTCTTGTGAGTATCCTTGTTGCAATGGGTCATCCTTTGTCCTTGTTTCAGCATTTTGTTATTCCCCTTCCCTTCCTTGAATCAGATAAATGCATATACATACAGTATACCAGAATCAAAAACAGTGATTGCCAGGGATAAACCAATGGAAAAATAAGAATGGCATAAAATAAGAAAGACCTAGATACAGTACATTGGCAACAACTACAACAACAACAACAACCAAATACCTGTTGTTTCTATGTCTTGGAGTCCATTTCAATTAGCATCATTTTGTTTGGTCATACGTACATAGCTATGGAGCTATTACAATTCTCTGCCAGGACGATCCTAAGCATATACTAATTATTAAAGATGAGGGAAACCACAGAGCCTATGTTTCTTTGGGTCTGGCTTACTTCACTTAATATGATTTTTTCCAAGTGTTTCCATTTCCTTACAAAAGGGATGATGTCATTCTTTCTGATAGAAGCATAAAATTCCATTTTATGTGTGTGTGTGTGTGTGTGTGTGTGCCACATTCTCTCGATCCTTTCATCTATTGAGGGGTAACTGGGTTGGTTCCATATCTTAGCTATAGTAAATAATGATGTAATGAACATACTTGTGCTGGTAGCTTTACTGTGGCCTTGCTTGTGATTATTTGGATAAATATCTAGGAGTGGGATTGCTGGATCATAGGGTAGTTCTATGTTTAGTTTTTTGAGGAACCGCCATACTGTTTTCCAGAGTGGTTGAACCAGCTTATATTCCCACCAACAGTATAGTAGTGTTCCCTTTGGCCATATCCCCTCCAGCATCTGCTATTATTTGTTTTCTTGGTAATGTCCATTCTAACTGGGGTGAGATGGATCATTGCCACATTGAAAATAAGCTTTGTTTAGAACTTTGAAAAATCAACCCAGGGAATGTTCCTGACTGATTTTCCCACATTCAACTTTCTGGTCCCCAATGGAATGCTTGCTACAAGGCCCTTACAGACCAAAGGCATGGAACCCAAGCTCAGGAAGGACTCCTACACGGTCAGGGAGTCAACATTTTAGGGCAGCACAGCATTCAGGTATGAAATCATTATCATGAATGGGCAAGAGTCTAATGGCCATGGAGATTGAGTACAGCTTCCTCCTTCCTCTCTGTCTTCACCATCCTTCTTTGACCTTCATAATCTTATCAGAGGAATGCGTGACATCAATGTTATTAAGAGCACAGCCTTCATAAAAACAAGATAATATGGACACATACAAACACACAAACTCACACATGTGCATGCACACACACATGTACACACACATACACACACACTCACATGATATGGTGACTCAAGCAGCATGTGTGTCTGAAAGAAAAGGAAATCCTATGGATTTTTAAGCAATATCAACCTTGTAGTTTCCATCAAAGCATTACTTTGTATTTTGTGCTAGACACACACTGTTTGGGAAAAAAACAAGTCAACAAAATCCCATGTGAGCAGCTCCTGTAGTTATATGAATTTTTATTAAGTCTACATAAATAAGAACAGAAGTTATAGTTATTTCCATGAACACCTAGAAAACAGACAGGCAGATCCTCAATAGAAGGCTGGTCCAATGCTAGTCTTCCAAGTCCTGAATTAGAGTCAGGACAGCTTATGTAGGATCGAGACACCTTGCTCTCAGCAGAGCACAGCCAGCCTGAGCACTGACTTTGAGTCAGACATCTGGAGAAAGCCCCTTCCCAGCCCTCTTAAACCTCTGTGTGCTTGACCCCCATCTGAGGTCTTAGAGAGGCAGAAACAAGCCACACTCACTTTTGCCATGGCAGGAGCAGAAAACAACCCAAATCATCTGATCTTTTTTTTTATTCACCTGTCTTCACCTACTGAAGACCTCCTGAGTTCTGTTATTGGAAGACTCTAGAGGCATCAACAGGCACAATTCATGGTGATCACTGTTGTCAGCAAAGCCAAGCATGGAGGGGAAGTGTTAGGAAGGACTAAGCTCCAGCTTTTCCATCTCAATCTAGATATCACTGATGCAACGCACAGTTCACTTGTTTATCTTCTTTCTGTCTCCTCCACAGGCTTGGTCAGCTCCAAAAGGCAAGACTTTCATCCATTTTGCACACCATCATATCCTAGTGTCTAGAACAGGGCTCAGTACATAGATGACCTCAACAAAAATTGCTAAAAGAAATACTTTGTCATCCCACTGATTCTAACTTGTCTGTCTCACCAAATGAATTCACTCAGGGAGACCAGACAGCAAACTGTGACTCTCATCCAGAACACGTGGCTCAGAAGCCCCCACATTGCCCACTTAGCAGTGCCAGAGGATATGTGCAACATACAGAGTTTTGTGAGGAACATCTCCTAAAGTACCCTCAAGTCCACAGATAGAAGAGTCAATACGATGATGAAGTCTAGTCCTTTTGAGGGCAGAATCACTCTGGCTCTCTGCTTTTCTGAAAGGACTCAAGCTGGCATTTCAAAAACTATGGCAGAACAGAAGCCAGGTGCCTTGGCTCATGCCTATAATTCTAGATACTCAGGAGGCTGAGATCAGAGGACAGTGGTTCAAAGCCAGCCTGGGAAAAAAAAGGCTGTGGAACTCTTATTTCTAACTAATCACCAAAAAAGCCGAAAGTGGAGCTGTGGCTCCAGTGATGAGTGCTAGCCTCGAGCAAAAAAAAAAAAAAAAAACAACTTAGAGAGAGCACCCAGGCCCAGAGTTCAAGCCCCAAGACCAGCACACACACAAACACACACTCACACACAAACACACACACAGGCACACACACAAGTATGAAAGAACAGGTTTGTCCTTGATTTCCTCAGAAACCATTGTGCCCTTCCTTCCCTGCTTGTCCTCCAGCCAGCAACTCACCTACTCCCTGCTCTAATCTTTTCTTTCTTTGTAGAAGGTGAAAATGTTTTATGACCCTGATTTACATAACTGCAGGTGGAATTTATCTGTAGGTCTAGCAGATGACCTAAATCATACAGCTTCAGGATACAGGGGACCCTTACCTCCACCCCAAGCACAGACAAAGTGTGGCTGCCAGTCCTGCAGAGCTGGACACAGTGCAGGGTGCAAATTTGTCCACATTTTTTTTAAAAGCAGGTTTCCCCTTGGAAGGATCCAGGTGGGACTGGGAGGGAAGAGGAGGGAAGCTAGAAAGGACTAGCTAGCCAGAAGCCACATGATAAACCACATACAGAGAGCACACAGGTGTGCACACACAAATGAGCACCCATGTGCATGACTTGCTCCTGTTTTTCAGGTCTACATATCTTGGGGCTCCATAGCATGCCCCACCTGTATCTATATAGTCTTGTGTGTCAAAGGTTTAAAAAGAATTCTCTAACGGTGGTAACCTGTTGGCCAAAGCTGTATTATCTGCCCAAAGACACACTTAAGAAAGTGAAGTGTCTTGACATAGAACCCTGAAATAATGTTCTCCATAGGTCTTCCCATGGCTGAGAAGAATTATCGAAAGGTGGGTTTCTGCATGTATGGCCATTCTCCATTCAAACACCCTTCTCAAGTGTTCCACTTAGAAACAGACCTTTCCCTCCAACTCAGTGCCTTGTCCACGTAGGTACCATCTCAGGGTCTCTGAGGGATCCAGGTCACTGTTTGGAAGATTAGAACTATGTTTGTTTATAGTTGATGATCTTCCTGAAGTCTGGAAAAGGGGACAAAGCCGGAGAGCAGTACAGTCCTAGAGAACACAGGTGAGACCTTGAAGATCTCCAGTTCATGGCTCTGGGATCTGAAGCACCTATTTCATAAAAGGCTCTCACCCTCATGGATGCTGATTCAAGGTTGTTGGACTCTCTGGTGTCCAAATGAGACATTCAAGAAATTAACCAGAAATAGACACAAATGATAAAGGAGATCTCATCAAGTCAATTTACTTTTGCACAGAAGGGTGCATAGTCACTCTACCCAGAGTTAAACAGGCACATTGAATGGCATGGCCCACTCAGTTTGTATATTGACATAAAGAGTGGTGTTGTCCCCCCTCTCTAGTAGGAGCTGTGCTCACATTCTATTTGTGATTGGTTATCAGGGTGGCAGGGTGATTTAAGGAAGCTAGAAAGCATTCTGTCAATGAAAAAATACCCACTGGTGCGGGGAGGGAGTCTGTGCTTTTAAGGCTGTTGGTAAGCACTCATCCCCTTGATACAGCTGGCTTGGCTACAGACAACACAGCTGACAGTTATAGTTTAAAGTCAGGAAGCAAATAGTTCTAGGAAATATAAGTACCAGGAAACAAAAATACAAAATGATGACTGGCTATAAGCTGGAACCACTTTGTTTTGACAGAAAAGACATGTCTTTCCTCACAGAGTGTCTGGAGAGAAATTCAATAATCTTAAAATTCAGGGTATGATGCAAATATTAAAACCAATAATTCCAACATACCAGCAACACATCCCCATGAGCTCACACCTGCTCTACCTGTGAAACCCTCACGTGTGCCTGTAGTGGGAACTATAATTAGAAGCATCCTGGTCATGATTGGAACAACAGCCTTCCCCACTCCCATGCTGACCTAGGAGAGCCACAGAGTTATGTTCAGAAATGTTATCCTGCCCTTCCCCCTTGCCTCATAATGAGGACAGAGATGAGTTCACTCAAGGTCAAGCTCAGAGTAGGCTCTGGAGGACTCTGCTCTAATTGCCCTGCTCCTTCCTCTTTCCAGAGATGACACCATCATCCCCAGTTGGCTTCCTGTTTGTGACCTTAGGGTCCCTGCTCAGCTCTGAATGAGAGATGTCAGGTGCCATTTGGATGGGAGCTAGGGATTAGGGCTGGGGGTGGGAAGAGGTATTTTGTAGCAAGCCTGAGCCACATCTTGGTGATTTGGGTGATGTTTACCAACCTGAACAAACAAATGTCATGTCTGCCTGCCCTGCTGTGGGCAGCCCTTTCAGCCCTCCAGAGCTCTCTACTGGCTTCCTTCTGCCTCCTGCTGCCCTGCTGCTCCCCACAGGTGGTTGGGGGAGGGCTCCCTCTTGCAGCACTTCTCCCAATCAAGCAACTGTGACTGTCCTCATGCTCCACTATGGGCTGTTTTCTCCAGCATCACAGCCTCTCTTATGTAGCAGCTCAGTGTCCTGGGCATCTGGCCTACTCTACAGTCAGTATATTGCATGGAGAGTGCCACATAGGGGGGCACCAGGGCCAAGGAGAGAGCTTGTGTCCTGTTCTTGGCCTCAAACTGGGAAAAGGCAAGGGCTCCATTTGATCTTTCTCGGGTACATCTCCAAATTTGTGGTGGCCCAGTTGTTTTACTGGGGGACTCCATGTGTATAACAACGACTGGGCAGATGCAGAAAATGAAATGGGCTAGATCAGAGGGAAGCATAGGGAAGCCTGTATCCTTCTGCTTCTGCTATGGGAGGCCTGTTTCCCCTCCTATGTCAGGAGCCAGGGCAATTTGAAGGCTTAACAGAAGACTACTCTGTAGACAGACTGAGGGGAGGTGGGGAAGGGGCACTGGTTAAAGAAACACCTGGCCCTTTCCTACTCCCCTACCTTATGCCCTAATGAGAAAGAGATGATTCATATAATTGCCATAACATGGTTAAAAGTCATAAATGAGATACTACTTAGAAAATCTTCTGAAGAGAGTCCTAGTAACTGTGCTGCCACCTGAGGCTCACAGCATCCTCTGCACCCTCATTTGCCACATTGTTTTCCGAGTTTGAGACCCTGCCTTAATACCTAGCCAAGGCAAGACCTTCTAGTGACAGCATTCACTTAACATCTGGGATACACCGGACTCCTAGATCCCCAACACTAGCTGCCTAGGCACCCACCACCCCTATGCACCCAAAGATACTACTACTACCTATGGTCAGAGCCCTGAGAAAATGCCACCTCCATTCTGGCTGGTGTGGGTAAAACAGTTTCACAACAAGAGCCTCCTCCAGCCTTGTTACTTTGTTACAAGGTGACCTGGCATGGGGTATATAAGTGTGTGTGCACCATCGAAGAATGCGCATATCTGCCTAGGGCACCAATGAAATTCACAGTGACACGTTCATTTTATGATGAAATAAAGACTAGAAAAGAATAGAAAAGTAGACATGCTACACAAACTTCTACTGTACAGGTCAAATATATTTGATCACAATCGGGCAACCTGGTGCTATTCCCCCCAGGCCTGTAGAACACCCTTTCCCTTCAACATGAGGCTTAGAGATTCACTGTTTAGAGATTCACCTTGTTTCCCTCCCCAACAGATTTTTTTGTTTCTTTGTATGTTCCTCTCCCATGGTATAACCCCTGTTTTCACTGTATTTGATGTTGGCGCCCTGCATCTTGTATATACACTTCTCTAATTTGGAGAGGGGAAGGGGGAAAAAATGCTTAAATAGGGATACAGGTGGACCCATTGTAACAATGAGATGTACAAGACACTATGTCCAAAAACAAACCTTAGAATTTAGGTGGGGGCAGGGGGTAGGGGGGAGTGTAGTTGTAGAGGTGGGAGGGAAGGGATGGTAGGGGAAAAACAAAGGAGGAGGTAACAATGCTTGATAAGAAATATACTCATTACCTTGCTCATGTAACTGTAACCCCTCTTTACAGTATTTTTACAATTAAACAACATATTAAAAAAGAGAAATGTTACATCAGCCACATCTTATTCAAGAGAACTAAATCCCAGGCCTCTCCCAAAGCTTTAAAGCAGGTGGACCCAAGTCACTTTCTACAGCCTCCTGGAGCCATAGTTGGACAGTGTGATGGATAGCTCTCCCTGGGCCTGGGAACCTGTGAAAGGTCACTCTGCCATCAGTGCACCCTGTGGCCAGCAAGAGTACTTTCTAGTAGGCCAATACTGTGGAAGACAGTAGACCCACAAGTTAGGGGACACCTGGTCCATAAGCAGGCTCTCTTGGCTAGTTGTCTCTTCACCTGCCTCCACATACCTCAGTCAGGCCCAGGTATACCCCAAATTCAAGACAGCTACAAATTCCCAACACCCTACCTAACAAGAGATGTCTCTAGTTTCTTTCCATGTGAATCTCAGTGGGACTCAGTGCTAACCAAGAAAACGCAGAATAAGGTATACTATGCAGTTCCACATATCCCCTCAGAAGGCCTGGAAACTTCTACTTTTTTCCTTTTCGGACCTGAGAGGAAGTCCAGCCTAGATAACTAGATGGTTGGAGGCCACTAAAAAAGACCTCAGTTGAGCTCCCAGCTGAGCACAGCTGCATTAGCAATCCCCAAAGTTGTTCTGACCCATAGTTGGTAAACAGTAACAGCTGTTACAGTTTTATGTGCTTTCAGGGAAGTGTGATATGCAGCAGTCAATAATTGAAACAGTAGCTTATATTCATCAAAGAAGTGAAGGGCAGAAGTGTGGGAGAAGTGTGTCATAGCTGTTCTTCACTGTAGGGTGAGCCAGTAGGATTCTGGCTCCCAGAGAAAGGATCCCCTGAATCTAAGGCCACTTTGAGTACTGGTTTCTTAAAACAGTACCCATGTGGAGATAGCTCAGGGGCAGAGGAGGCTGGATCGCAGGTGGAATGGACACTGAGGCTCCTGGTTTCTATGGAGACAGGGCTAACTCCTTTCTTGAATTTCTTCTTCATACCAGTGATTTTGACTTTGAACTTGACCTTCATCTTAGCAACAATGATCACAAACGCATATTTAGCCAGGAGATTTCTCTCAGGTAATATCCCCAAGTGGCAAGTTTTGACAAATTGAATCCAGAGTCCCCTTAGATAAGCAGCATTTTAACTTTCTCAGTTTCCAGTGCTCATCATGCAAGAGTTAAAACTCCTACTTGTCTACTGGGCTGGGTCAAGTGCCCCCATTTTCTCCATACTGTTGTCTACTTCTTTTCTAGGAGTAGAGTGCTAACAAAGTATATGGAGTGACATAGTTGCATTTTAAAATGGTCTTCATCTCAATAAAAGGACAAGGTAGCTCTTTCTCAGAAAGAGCCATGGAGACCTTCTTCAGACTAACAAAACTAGCTCCACATGAGTTATCCTGGCTAGTGATTCTTATAGAAAGCAGATTTCCAGTGTAATACTTTGCTCAAGGAATGCAAAATATTTTCTATCCAACAATGTCACTGAAAATTCTGACCAGCAGTACCTAATTGATACAATATTCTCCAATACATAACTAATGGTAATTTCAAGTTCTGAAAGGTAGCACTAAAGTCATGCTTAGGGTAGCACCATGTAATAGGAATCCACATAGCAACTAACAGATTTCCCAGCATTGCAGTGATTTTGGAGGTGTACCTGAAGTGCCTCCGGAGCAACCCTAACCTTTTCTGGCCTCTGCCCTAGTACCATGACCTCATTTAACCCAAAACTCAAGGGCACCCCAACTGCTAGCAAGGAGGGAGCCCCATTCCTGCCTCTTGGGTACATCATGACCTCTAAACAAATTAGAAGCCCAACTAGGCAATTTCATTGGAGGTGGTAACAAACCAACATGTACTTTGATAACACAAATACTGATTATTTGGAAAGTCCCTTGATTTCATTTTGACAAGGTTTCCCCTTCTACTGTAACTTTGAATTGACAAGGGGCTTCTTCCTCCCCTGTGTCTTTCATGGAGCTTCACTCAACATAGATTCTTGCATCCCGGATTCATTCAGATCCAGTTGGGCCTTATCCAGTTGGAAGAGACATAAGAGCCATCAGTCCAGGAGTGCTAATCTATGCCCCTGGGAGAGTGTATACTTTTGGAAGTGAAATTATATGAATACATATAAGCCATGGAACTGATCCATTATTTGGTTGCCACTGTGGGAAGCTGAAAATATGATCTACTCCAGTGACCTCCAGAAGGGACTGTTGAACAAAAAAGAAAGTTATTTACTCAACAAGGCCATGAGGTGACAGAACTCTGAACTGCAACTCCCTGGACCTTTTATCTCATAGTCTGTAAACAGTATATGTGGCTCATCCCATGCCCAAATAATGCCACAACTACCAGCATGTACATACTTTATCAAATGCACAGCCCCGGCTAAGCAGGTGATGTGAGATGCTGGGTATACACAGTGTTAGTGGGCTTCAGAGTCAGAGGAGATGGTGGCAATGGGCGAGTTAACAATGTCCTAGCTG